TATATTATCTAGAGACAGGAAAGTTTAAGTGTATAGACAGATATTTAACACTTCAATTGTAATGCATTTTCAGAAGAACAGTTACACAACAAGTATCCTGGCTTTCCCAATCTTGGAAGAAAAAAGCAAAGTATTTTTCAGTACATGGTAACTGGGTAATGGCAGAAAGAAGAAACCACGAACAATTTTTCCAGAAAAATTTAATCTATTTTTCAGTCTTCAGGATAAGCCAAAATGTTATTATGATCCTCATTATGCCTGTCATATGGGATGTACATACTGTAATTTAGAAGGAAGCAGCAGCAATTGGTCAGTTTTCTAACCAATGTAAACATTTTCAAAGCTAATCAATGAGTTTGGACACAAAAGAAATCCATTTCAAGTAGAAACAGATTCTGCCTAATTGGCACTGAAAATTCCAAAGACATCTGTCTATCCATCCAAGAGATGAGCATTTCTGTTGCTGTCAATGTTTTTATAATGTTAAGACATGTTGGTTTTTTTTTTAGCATCAACGCTGTTTACGTTTTTACTGTCTTCAGTAGAATTAACAATAGTATTTCCTCGACCACACAAACCAGTTCAAAAGCTTAAAGATTTCTGTTTAAATTTATTTCCATTTTGTTCATCTGCAACTGAAAGTGATAAAGGAACGCACACAGCACAAGCTGCATGTCTGGCTTGCACTCAGTGAATGTTTTCTGAGATTTGGCATGCATAATTCACTCAGAGACTGAAACAAGTACCACAGCTTTGAGCTATCAGGTATCCTCAGCCTTTTAATATGCTTCTTTCCAAAGAGTTTTCCCACCTTCCAGCCTTTGAGAAGTCTTTTTATTTGTCTCATCCTAACTGTTCACCAGCTTAAAATTTCTCTATGCACTTCTGAAACAGTAACCACAGCAGTTAAGCTTCAACTCACCAGATGAAATGAAAGAAAAAAAAAGAAGAGGAACAAAAAGACATCTTCCCAGTGCTTCACTCACACGAGGTATATTTTCTGCAGAACATTTTTCATCCTCTCTACAAAGCCATTATCTGCTATCAATCAGCATGAAAGGAAACCTTCTTCTTTTCCAGATCTTTAACACTTTTCAACTCAGACTGGTTTCTCCCAACGAAAAGCGTCTGTCATTGCTTACTGACCTGTGACTGTGGTGGGACGGGTGTGATGTTTGCAACGTGACTGGAGATGGGCAAGATATTCAGCTGATCATCAATCACGATGCAATTCTTGCATGAGGCCAGAGACAGAATGAACCTGAGCAGTCAAGCAAAGGCAACTCAGTAAAAGCACTAGCAACACTATTGCATCTTGGTGATTAATTAAACCTCTGTACTAACTATTTACAGCAAGAGCAGCTTAAAGCTAAGCTGAGACAAGTTCACATAACTGGTCACATGCCTTTTATCAAGAAAGATGCAGAACAGGCATCCACTTAAAGGGGCACAGGCCTCCAAAGAAAACCACTAACATGATGATCCACCAAGAGAACTAGAAAGTAATTTCCACTGTTTAAGCAGGAGATAGCTGCATAGAAGTGTAAGACAACAATTGTGACAAATGCTGACCAGCAAAGACTGCAGTCAATGCCTGGTTTACTCATCCTTCTAATTTCTGACAACACATAAATATCACCTGCATGCAAAAGAACAAATTTTGCCAATGGCTAGAGCAAGGGCTCAATCACTCAGTAAGAACTTTATAGAACAAAAGGAGAGGAATCGCGTTTAAAACAAAGTTCTAAAGCCACAGAGAAGACTCTACAGTGAGCAGTTCCATGTTTTATAGTAGATATAGTAAGCAGCGAATACCTGAATTTCCTTTCATCTGTGTACATGTTTCTGTGCAGCATTTCAAGAGCAGAACTCAGAAGATTTTACAAATCTGGGCACATTTACACATCCTTTGTAATATAATGCTAAAATTTTGTATACAATTCCTCCAACAAGATAACACATTCATTTCCAGGATAGTACATACAGACTTCACAGAAGCAGCAAAGAAGCTTTATTTATTCTCATGCAAACTTACAAGATACTTTCCTAATATGAATATACAGTGTTGCTCTAGACACCTTTCCTGGACATGCTTTGAATGCCTAATAACATACCTTTCATTAAACCGTCCTACCACGTCCTGGTGTGCCTCTGTTCTATATCGAGAGTGTACATCCTGAAACAGAAAGTCAGTCTGGAGAAGGAGCAGCGCCAACAGTGACACTTACAAGATTATTACACATGGGACAATCCAATTTGTTCCCCACTACGTCACTCTCTCCATCAACACTGCATCCCAGGCTGGATTCTGACTTTGTTTGCTGAGACAATCAAATATTCCAAATATTGCTTTAAAAACGTACTTCTCCCACCAAGACTTTTCAGTGTGGTCTCACATATTTTTGTCTGATTAAATGGCCACTTCTACTACATACAGAACATTTTAAGCAGCACAGGGATGCTAAGTAAAAATAATTTAATGCTTTAATTCACCTACTGGCGTTATAAACTGTCCCTGCTACAAGGTTAGGTATACTCTGTGTGAAAAAATTATCCTTGGAAATACATAGGAATGAAGCAGCTAATCTCACTTAGCACTGGGTCAGAAAACACTTTTTTCCTTCACTTTGTCATGTGTGCAAACAGCATAAATAATTTCCAACACTACTGTGAAATGAAGACAGTTGAGCTTGTTGGCAGAACAAGGGTTGGTGTAACTGCCTAAACAAAAGACTCATTCCACGATAAACGGAAGAAGGAGCAGCAAAAATAATGGAAGAAAGACTACAACCCGTAACAAAAGCAAAAAAAAAATAATCACTTAGCATCACCAAATGTAGCTGCCCATCTAAAACAGACACATTACATTGAACATACCATGGTCATTGTATAGAGCTGCTTCAGTGAGTTCATTGTTCTCAGGAGAATTACTACAATTCCACCCCCTTCCACTGTTTCTACAGTTCTAGCTAGCAGGTTTGGAGTCAAGGCCTCAAAATCCTAGGAAACAAAATAAAAAAACCTTCAAAGCTGCATAGAATTCACAAGTGCAATAGCAACTACTAAAAAGAAGAGAAAAACTATAAACATTCTTTATCTGAGTTTAATTCCAGCTTAACATTTGCATTAACCAACTTCCCATTAAAATTCTACCCAGGAAGGCTATGTCACTCCCCACAAAACCCATAAAAGATAAGCAAGGCCATCATAACTTAAGTAACAGGAGCAACAAATAGAATTACTGCAGCTTTTAAACTCAAAGCAAGCAATAATCGCACTACATGCCTCCAGCAAAAAGTTTAATTCTTTACCTGAAGCACACACATGCCAAAAGTGTTACCAAGAATCTTATGAGTTTCATTGTAATAGCAGTAGCGAATGTTTGTGGCTGCTATAAACAGTTCAAAAGGATCATCATCTTTTATGTTCAAGGTTCCACTTTTAATCTTCTTCTGCAGTTGCCTCATTCTCTTCTTCCGGTGGCTGGAGAACAAAATTTCATGTAAGTTTTTTTAGGAAAGGGTTTGAGAAGACTGCACTCGTTCCTAATTTCAAGGCTAAATGGAATTCAGAGCTCAGCCTCCAAGGAAAAGTCTTGCATTACACATACTGTATTCAGGGTATGTTCCCAAATGCCTTTGGCCCAAAGTGGTTGAAACCACCCAGAACCAGCCGGTTTTGGAAGAAATCATCTGGTTGGAATCATGTAGTTTCAAGTAACCCTTCCCAGCTTTGTGCCCAGACTGCAAGTATGCATGTAAACCTAAGAACTAACATTTAAAACCTTTTCTCAAATGAAAGCAACAGTAACGTCTAATCTGCACCCGGCTGTATATACTACTGAGGCACTGAAGTTTTGGCCATTTGAGATTAGAAAAGAAAGGGAGAAATAGGCCCAAGACAACAGGATTAGTGTTGGAGCTACAGAAGGAAAGCAGAAGTACATAGCGTTGATGCCAACCACGCTCCTGAAACCGAATTTTAGCTCTGGAAAATCGAGCATCCTGTATCTCCTGCTAAAATAAGACTCGTTTCTCCTGACAACCAAATCAGCCCATGCTGAGCAGAGCAGCCGCAAAGCTTTTCCTTCAGAGAGCACTCAGACATCTACTGCAACACGAGATGTAAAAGGCACCTTACCTGCTAAAGCCCAGCTCTTTTTTGTAACACCACAGGACAGAGGGCCTGGCCTTGACAGTTGCCTTGGACAACATGTGGTGAAGTATAACCACCTGCCAAGACACAGGAACATCAATGCACAACCGCACTCGTAAACTAACATGGAGCAATATATTTTTCAGCAGGGTCTGCTGAGACGAGATGGGGGCAAACTGTTTCAGATAAAAAGACTGGATGGAAGAAAAATTTTTACAGTAAGGGCGGTGAGGCACCGGCACTGGTTGCCCAGAGAGGTGGACGCCATCCCTGAGTCATCCACGGCCAGGATGGACGGGCTCCGAGCACCTGACCTAGCACGGATGTCCCCGCTCCTTGCAGGGGAGGCGGGCCAGATGGCGTTTAAGGTCCCTTCCAACTCAAACGACTCTATGAACATTCCACGCTGACCTATCCTTAAGTTTGAAGCCACGGTATCTACCGAGAAACGCCGGGCAAAACGGAGGGGTATTTAAACGCGTCGTGAAGTTGAATCCCAGCACTCCTTCCCGGCACCGCAGCCGCGAGGCGCTCACCTGGTCCTTGCCGCGGTCGCCGACCACCACGAAGAGGCCCCTCTGCCGCTCCGCCACCCCGTTCTCAATCAGCACCCGGATTCGATTATCCACCTTGCGGCGCTGCATGGCGCCAGCCGAGCGCTCGGTCCTTCCCACCTCTCAGCCGCTACCGACAGCTCTTGGCCGCGCTCCGCACCACGCACCCCACGTGGGAACCGCACGGCGCAAGGCGCGCGCGCCGCCGCTCAAGTAGGACCCCGCGCGAGGCTGTCCTGGCCAGCGCCTGCGCGGCGCGGCTCCCTCAGCGCGGGGCGGCACCGGGCTCGGCGGAAGAGGAGGCCGCGGGTCCGAACGGCGGCGCTTCGGAGAGCGCATAGGCGGCGCCACGCGTGCCCGAGCGATGGCGCAGCCGGTTGTAAAAACGGGCTGAAGCGCGCTTGAAAAAGTTTTAATTCTTTTTTCCCCGAAATAAACATCGCTTGCAACGTCTGACTGCTCGAGCGAGCGCCCCGCCATGACGGCCCTGCGGCCTGAGAAAGGGGCGGCGGGACGGAGCGCGTGCACGGCAAAATAACGAGGCTGTGTGGTGCGGTATCGTCCGGTAATGAGCCATTAGAGCCTAAGAAAATTCAGTGACCTTGCTTCTCAATAAAAGTACCGCTCAAGCTGTCGGGTAAAACTGCAGCTGCAGCGTCAGCCGAGCGAGCTGCCTGCACAAACACGGCTATTGCTAGCTCTTCATACCGCCAGAACGAGTTCGGAAGCGTTTAAAAAGCGCGTAACAGCATAAGGGAGCGCGCTTAGTACCGCTGGGCAGATGCTGAGATAAATATCAGTTTCAAAACAGCAACACGTGCAATCAAACTATTGAATTCAAGCTCTTTAAGGCTGTGGAACAAACCTTGAGGAGAAGCCAGGTATCCAAACGAAATCACCAACAGAAGCACAGCAAGTCAATTCCTGAGGGATAGCTGTGGAATATTTGCTTAAAAGGACATAAAACATTGAAACTACTTATGTTTCAGGTGCTTACATACGCCACGAGCCAATTTGTTTTAAATGGAGAGGTAAAGAACTGTGAAGTTGTAGGAATGTTTAAGGCCATCGGAAAACCAGAGCCTGCAGGTTAACGAGAAGGTAAGTCTGAGAACGTATTTTGTGCAGTAGATGCATTACTAAAATTTGTTCTGAAATGGAATAGCCTTAAAAATTATGAAATATATATGAAATATATTTTCATTTAGTACAAGTGTAATGGATACAAAAAATCAGCTGAACTCTTAATCCATTAATTAGGTATCTGAGCACATTTATACAAAGCCGAAACTGGACATCAGTTGGACTGAGCCAGTTACACCTGCCTGATTATCTCATGAACATAAAGGGATAGGGGAGATGGGGGCTGGAGAAACGTAACTTTCGGTGCAGCCCATGATCCCATTAAGGGCTAACGCTGATCAATTTCACTCAGTCACAACTGTCAAGTCACAATGTCATTTTGCTAATACAGTTCTCTGAAACACTGCTCAAGTTGACTTTATGATGTCAATTTGGGAAACAATTTTCCTTCCTTCCTTCCATTAATGCTAGACCTACAGAATTACAAATAACAATTACATCGTATTCAAAAAGCCTAAGAAAATGAATAGGATAGTACCCCTTCTAATAGATAAACCATTTAGAAAATTAGTTTCTTATCAGAGGCTTTTTGATAGCACACTAGAAATTCAACATACCCAGTTTATGAGACAGAAATCCAAGATGCTGCTTCTAAAGCTGCATAAAAGTAGATGAGGGTGAGGGCTTTCTTTCAGGTACAGGAAGAGACATTAAGTTTCTTTAAAAGTCCACTTACAGCTTTCCCTTCAGGTTACATCCCTCAATTTTAACGTGAGATGATTTGAATGCAATATCAATCCCTAAACAGCCAGGTGCCGTGCTAATCATCCTTATTTCATCTTAGATGATGTGCTGATTGGGATGAAAAACATTTATTGCCAGGGAATGCAAGTAGTTGCAGATGGAGTTTTAAGGACCTTCTCCCTCTCCCTCTGAAAAAACATAATGGCCAAACAAAAGCAGCTTAAGTCATTACCTTTCTTCATGAGCACGGAGTATGCCGATCTCACATTAAATGATGGAATTTTGCCAAAGTTAATATGAAAACTCCTTGTACTTAATTCTGCCACTGAACATAAGAAATCTGACATTAGTACAAGACTAATTGCCCACTTAGCTTGTGATCTTGTGATGGAATAACTGCAGTAGTTTTATAATTTATAATTACAAGGACACTATTGCAGTTTTGCAATGCATTTTCCACAAGATGATGATAACTATATTTAAGCTCAAGTTTTAAAAAGAAAACCATTCTCTTTTGAAGTTCAAAAGGAGAATTTTCTTGTTTAGAACAATTTTTTGCTTGCTTCTCAGACAAAGCACTGATTTTCAGGTCACCCAGAGGTAAAAGTTAACTACCCATCTCATCTGCAGAACTGATGGTGCCAGCACAAATAATTAAATGCCTTCATTTGTTCCACACTGGATGCAGATGGAACACTGTAAATAGAAGCACAGATCTGAAAGACTGAGGCAGTTCTATTTGTTTAGTTGCAAAATGAGCTTTGCACGGACAAGAGGAAGAGCTTTATTTTTCAAGATGTGACTTCGACAGTCTAATTAATGGAATTTAATGTCAGGCAGCTTCCTCGTGTCCCTTTCTATCTACAGCAGACTTGAGATAAGAAATCTGAAGAATACCACAAATTTTGCCCACTGACACTTAACATCTGCACCTCAGATAAGCATTCGTAACAAATTATTCTTGCAAAGAAATGGTAAAAAAGTCAGCTACATAGCTTGGCTACGTCCAGACCTTCAAATAAAGACCAGGAGGGTCAAGAGTCTTCTGATCATTTACCTTATTCTGCTGGATTACAAAGTTTTTGCCCTATCTGCAATTACCCACAGGAAGTTACTGCTTTCTCACTATTATTTATCACACCTTGAGTATTTGCCTAGGGTTAAAGCCATTTCAACACCTAATTATTCAAATGCCATTTGGGGAGAGAAGGACAGCTCGTCCATTCTATAGTGACAATGTACACGAAGGTAACCTCCAACCCAATGAAATAATCTGCCTAAAACATAAGGAATGTGGGATGTATGGAGAAGACTTTTAAGGTAATGAAATTCTCTGAAAGTTACAAAGTCCCAGCAGAATACACCATTAGCTATTATCCAGCCATCACTGTCATTCTTGTATCTACTCTGGATGATGTCTAATCATAAGACTTCAATACTTTACTGCCATACCCTGGAAAGAAAAATGGCAGTTAACCCTAGGATTATAGATTTACTATAACAAAATCCAAAATTTGTATTGGTGGACTCTTTAGAAGAGAGCCAGTACACACAACTAAGGACAAGATTGACCTTAGGTATGACAAGCAGCTCATGATTTAAGTTATGCAACATGTCCAGAAAAGTCTGAAATGTCCCAGATACAGTAACATTAGGTAGAAACATCTGGAAAACTCTGGAGCCACCTCACACGTTATTTACTCAAGAATCCTTTTATGACACACTGCAGTGCTAAAAGCTGGTTCTCAAACACGTATGTTATCACAGCCTTGCTGCTAGATAATGAAGTCCCAGCTGGGAACAAAAACACTTCTCTCGTAATAGCTGTACACACCAGAAAGCAGTCATTACTTGTCTGTAATGCTCCAAAGAGACTAATTCAGGGAAGAATCAAGTAAACCACCATGAGAGCAACTGATGTATGTATATACAGGCTCAAAAGTACGCTATTTGCCCCCTGGTGTCAAAAGAAAGGGCTCTACAACAGAACCAGGCCAGAACTGCTACCTATTTCACCTGCTTACCATCATTTTGTAACTATTCCATGTTCACAACACAGATTTCTTCTTCCCCAAATGAAAGTGATCTCGAATTGCTTTTGATCTGAGTGCAACTCAGATCTAGAAGTAATCTAAGCAGTGATGGTACTTGAAAGCTCTGAAGTCCTCTCTCTCTCTCTCTCAATACAGTTCTTTAAAATGTGTAGCACCACACTTGCACTGCAGTGGACCAAGCAAAGAAAACAAGCTGGACCCTTACAATCAACCATAATGTTGACTGACAGACCCCCTGAACAGGCCAGAAAACCAGTTAATGAATCTATGTGCCATACTGTGACTCGAGGCAATTTTTCAGTATACTGTTTATTAGCTGCATGTATTGAGATTAAAGGAGTCAGTGCAAATTCCCAGATTAAACATGTATTAAGTACTTGTTTATAGTTATTATCGTTACACATCTCCCTCTATCAGCATACAGTAGAACAGCTATTCTAAAGACCATTTTCATACACGAAAAGGCTTACAACTTTGCATCTCAAATAAGAGGCCTCTCAAACACCCACGTTTTATTAATAAATTTAAATTATGCTTCAAAAAAAAAACAAAAAAACTTAAGTGGAATGTTCTGATCAATTCAGTGGTCTTTAATTCAGCATGCTGCAAGTTCACTATCCAACTACAATTAACTATTGAATTCGCATTTGGTGTGCAACAGAAAAGGCTGAATAGCTTATATTCTACCAACCATTTCAAAGTAAGCTGATGCACACAAAAAGAAAAAAAAAATCACTGTTTCCTACATCAGTTCAGCATTAAAAGGTTTGTCTTTTATTTTTTTTTTTCCAGTTAAAAAAACCAATTGGGACTATTAGCTCAGTAACAGCTTCCTAAAAAAAGACACAGAACAGCAACTTCTTACCGGACTGCAGGTTTTATCTTTACACTGGCTTGGAATGTTCCTAGGCCTTGACTACAACTGCTGTGCTTCTAGCCATCAGCATTGTTTCAAGGTGTTTGCTGTGTAGCATTGTCTTCAAAAGCTTATCACTCCTCAGTAAAAACTTCTCGTTTGTGCTCTTCACATGTAAAATGGAAAAGTGACCTTACCACCTATCTGTATGCACTATTCAGCAACAAAGTCAAAAAATACAAGTTGTTCTGAAAGTTCAGTTATGATACAACGTAGAAATGTCCCTCTGGGCAAAACTCTCAGCAAAAACAACTTTCAGTTCTGTATATAACAGGTAAGCAATGGGTAGCTGTTCCTTAACGTCACCCTTCCACACGTGGGAATTATCTGATGAGCAACACAGCGCTTTTCTTCTTGCACATGCTATAAATGCAACACAACTACCAACACCTCTATGGAGGCAGCTATCAATATATTCTCCCCACTGCAGAGAGAGTGCATGTGCGCAAAAGTGAGGCACAAGTGATTTTCCAAAGATTATACCACAAGTATACAGTAAAAACTTGAGTAAAACTTGGTAATTTCCAGCTCCTAGTCTTATGCCATTTCTTCTAGACATTGCTGCCTTGATGAGAAGGAGAGTCTCCACAAGAAGAAAAACTTCCTAGATGTCACAGGTATTAGAATCAAATGAGAAAACGGGAGTTTGACAACTATTCAGGAAAATCTTTCATTGAAAAGAGAAAACCTTATGCAGTGTAAACCCGTTACATTAGATTTGTTTCAGTCGCTGAAAACCAGTGTTCAGGATACAATTTTTATAAACATGTTTTATTTGTCTTGCTTATACCATTAGAACTGTAACTGCTGGCTGTCATTTCCCTTAAAAGGGGAAATCAATTCAAACACATACTGGTGCTTTTCAAAAGATAGCAATTAAAAGGGCAGCAGCAGCGGGCATTTGAGATTTCTTAAAACCTTCAAGGCTGCAGGAAAGACAAAAGGACATGTGACCAAAAGTGTTATGATTATCCATTAGAGATTTCCATCAGTACCGGCATCAGTTATTTAGGTGATAATACAGCAAAGTCAAGTATTAGTGACAGACAATGTGCAAGTCATAAGGAATGATAGAGAGTACCAATCCTTACAAAAGTCATTGCTATCAAAGAAACTTAAATGTGTTTCAAAGAGATATCTAAATACTTCACATCAAATATACAGTGGCCAACCAGATTATAACTCGCGTTTGTTGCAAAATTTTGTTGAAGTGCCAAATCAAAGCTTTTTTCTTTAAAAAAATTACACAGTAACATTAGCAGTTATGCAAGCGACCCTACATCCTTAGCCACAGTAAACGGGGCCCTGGTGCTGAGCAGCGCTGTAGCTAAGGGCGCTTCTTCTTTGTCAAAAACTGGCTATAAGCCTGCTTAGGGAAATATGCATCGCTACACATCTGTAACTGTTCAGTGCTTCAGTTTAATATGAAAAAGCTGAAATGCAGTTGCTCTACCAAGCCACACTTCACTTTTTCAATCCTTTCATGGGAACATTAAGTTTCATCACATTAGGTTTTGCCACCACAGTAATTCTTTATGAATTTGCAGATTATATCCAAATTTGTTGCATCGCTTTTAATGTCAGAAGTGAGTCTTTGCTTTTTCCTGCCACTTCAGTTAACCATGGAGAGACTGGATCACCCTGAAAATTGCCTTTTTTTGCATTATTCTTAGCAAGGGTGAGGAATCTGAATCTCATGTGCAAGGCTCAAGATGATGCTTAGGACAGAACATGCAGAGTAAACGTTGTTTATTTCTTTCCATATCCAGGTAACATAAAGCTGGCAACTGTAGTCCTGTCATTATGGGTAATGAAAATAGTCCCTTTACAACAAACTTCCTGTAAGGGAGAACAAATAGATGATAACTCTTCTGGTAACATGTATAGTACACTGGCCAGTGTGTTTTTGGCGTTTTCACGTAATCCTGTGAATTTGTTTAATTCACTTGCTGAGCGTTCATTTGAGGCATCCCTCTATTTGGTCTTGGGGGTCCTCCACGACCTAGAAAATATGTGAGAGGCACTGGGATTATGCAAGGAAACAAAACAGAAACAACAACCACCACCACCAGAAAACAAACCAAAAAACTACAAGCTCTGGTCTAAACTAGGTATTTGGGCTGCAGATGCTTTTCAGAGATTCTGTACATCAGAATTCAAGAGTGTACAGCTTGTCTTTACAGTTTTCATCTTTATCTCAATACCTTTTCCCCCAAACTATGAAGCTGTAACCACTATGAAAAAATTTAGTCATGAGATACAAAGATTGAAACTGAAAGTTTTGAAGTAATGTAAAACAATCATTGGTTTACTGCAGTTTTAAATACTGCAAGCTAACTGATCATATTTTTACTTCCATTCTTTCTTAAGAAAGGGACTGTGTGCAGCTCACAGTGTGAGAGCAGGGAGCTGCTGGAGAGGGTCCAGAGGGCCACAAAGATGATGAGAGGGCTGGAGCACCTCCCCTTCGAAGACAGGCTGAAGGAGAAGGGCTTGTTCAGCCTGAAGAAAAGAAGGCTGGGGGGTGATCTCATTGCAGCCTTTCAGTACCTGAAGGGAGCCTACAAACAGGAGGGGAATCAACTCTTTGAAAGTGTTGATAGCAGCAGGACAAGGGGAAATGGTTTGAAGTTGAATGAGGGAAGATTTAGGATGGATGTCAGGGGAAATTCTTCACAGAGAGAGTGGTGAGGTGCTGGAACAGGCTGCCCAGAGAGGTTGTGGATGCCCTGTCCCTGGAGGTGTTCAAGGCCAGACTGGATGGGGTTCTGGGCAGCCTGGTCTGGTATTAAATGGGGAGGTTGGTGGCTCTGCACATGGCAGGGGGGTTGAAGATTCACGATCCTTGAGGTCCCTTCCAACCCTGGCCATTCTGTGGTTCTGTGAACTGTTTGGTGAATTTCTCTGTCAGCCACACATCACTGATAACAAACATCAAGACTTCATTCATTATAGCTGAGCTTTCTATACAGTGCTTTCAGCTTCACAACAGCCTCACACTAGGTTTAATTCCAAGCCACAGTTTCACAGGATGGTGCCTTCAGTACCAAGAGTCAAGAACAGAACTCTAAGTGCTTCCTCCTCAACAATAATGAGAATCTTAAGTTATAATCAGAGAGGTTTAAAATGTCCATATGAGAACAGAGCTCATCACCAAACATCTATTAGAAAAGAACTGTGGAAAACACTGCTGAAAAGTAAGATTTAGAAGTTCAACTGGAGGCCTCATGAGTACACTTTTGTTTGTTTCATGAGATGAACACCTGGCAAACACTCCCAAAAAGCTACAGGATAAAATGCTTCCACTACCTAAAAGCAATAATTCTTCAGGACCAAGGAAGAGAATAACACGTTGCATCCTTAGATAAAAAAAAAATAAATCCTTGCAACAGATGCAGTAATTCATCTCTTACTGCCAAGTAAAACACAATTCTGAAGGCTGACAGCCAGTTAAAGCCAGGTGGTAGCTTTATTAATAAATTTTACTTACAAAATATTCACAAACCTAACTAAGCAGATCTTAAGTTATGACAAATCTGGAGGAAAAAAGAATCACTAAGTTTTTCATTATTATCTGCTACATTTAAAGCACCAAAAACAAACGCCTTTTTAATTGCTTCTCAAATCCTCATTCAACAGGCAGCTAAATTTCTGTAGGAGTTCACAGGATAACAGTGTAACTCAAGACAGAAAGGACCTCAAGAGGTCCTTCTTCCAAAGCTGAGTCAACTATGAAGTCAGAGAAAAGAAAGCCTATTCTTCAACTGGGATCTACTGAATAAAGGATTGAGGTTGCTTTAATACACAACTCCAGAAACTGAATCAAAAGATTCCACTCAGCTCAAATCAAGCACACGCTACTCAGGAATTACCTCGAGGAGCTCCCCGAGGCCCACTTTGTCCAGAACCACGTTTGAAGTTCTGCTGATATCCATCCTAAAGCATAAAAATGGGCAAGTTATGACATAAACCACACACATTTTCTTGGTTTAATAGTTACCAGTAAAATAAAGAGCTTTTAAAGCAATCTACACTGATGAAGTACCTGTGACTCCAGCATACTGCATTGTGTTAGTTTTAGTTCTTGTAAGGAAAACACATTCTTACTCCTACCAGTATCTAGCAGCTATAATAATGTAAAATAATAAATTCCTTGTCCAGTTCCAGGATATTTTCTTCAATATAAGTAACAAATGCAGACAGAACTACTGTTCAGTTTTTTTCTGGACTGCACAGAAGTCAGACAGATGGGTTTCTCACAGAACCGGTCAACAAAATGAAGATTCTAACACCAGTATCAAAGTTAGCCATCTCATCTGTTTATAAATACATGTTTGAGGATGAGCAGTCATTTTCCAGTCAGTCAGACTAAGCTTTGAGCTCACTATACACTTCCTACAGAACAATGTATTTCTATACTGATTTCAGAATAGCATATCAGAAATGCTGAAGACAGGCAGCCCCTTACAAGCTTGAGAAGTTCATTTCAATGGATTTAAGTTCTGTGGTCCTTCCTCACAGAGCTGTGAAAACTTGAGAGAGTTTTTAATAATTCAACTAACTTTGCTTTAGCTACTTCAGAGACCACACAGCCCAACAGTTCTCCCAGTTATAACTAGCCATCTCAAATTCTGCTATTTCTAT